CGGGGGCGTCGTAGGAGCCTCTCAGGCTGGAGATCTTGAAATGTCGCGCTCTTCGGGCCCTCGCTCTTGGGGCTCTCTTGGGGCGCTCTCGAGGCCCTCTTGAATTATCTGGGGAGCCTCCTGGGCCGTCTCTGGTCTTTCCTTGGAGGCCTCTTCGGCCGTCGCGGAGCGATCTGAAGGGCCTCTGACGCCGTCTGGGACCGTGGGGAAGCGGAACATGCGAGAGCGCCAAAATGCGGGGCCCTTTAGAGGGGCATCTGGAGGCTCTCTTGGGGCGTTTTGGCGGCGTCGTCGGCCGTCCTGAGGCCATCTTCGGAGTGTCCGGGGCCTCTCGGTGCTGTCTTGGCAATCGTTAGGGCCCTCTTGGCGTGTCGTGGCGTGTTTGGGAGCGGGCCCGGGCAGTCCCGGGAACCCTGGGGGCTGTTGAATGCTAGGTGTTGTCTTGGAGGCGGAGGCTGTTGAGTGCAAGGTGGCGTGTGCTACGCGGAAGGCGGGCGAGCGGCCAGGCGGGCGGCGGGCGGGCGGGTGGCGGGCGGGCGGGCGGGTCGGGATTTGAATGAATTCCCTAAGGGTGCTCTCTTGCAGCGGGAGCTTGCTGAGTACAGGGTGTTGCCTTGAAGACGGGGGCTGTTGACTACAGGGTGTTGTCTTGGAGACTGAAGCTGTTGAGTACAGAGTGGTGCGTGCTACGCGGACGGCGGGCGGGCGGCGGGTGCCCTAGGTGGTTTGTCAGAGGCCTCATGGGTGTTGGCTTGGATCTCGTGGTTGGCCTGTCGGGGACGTCGAGAAGGCAGTTTCGCAGCTTCTCGGTAGCCATTTTGAGACCGTTGTGGGACCTCCTCGGGGCTGTTTTGTGGCCTCTTGAAGCCTTGTTTGGGTCTCCTGGGTGCCTCTCGGGGGCCTCCTGCGGCCTCTGGGGGGCTCATTGGGGCCTCCTGGGGTACTCTTCAAACGGGAGGGTCGAATTTTGGAGTCGTGGTCCCCCTCTTGGGCGCATCTTGGGGCCGTCTTGGGGCTCTCTGGGGCGCCTCTGGGGCCGTCTGGGGGCCCTCTTGGGCCGTCTTGGGGCGCTCTTGGGGGCCTATGGAGCCGGCCTGGAACGTCGGACAGTCGAAAAGGCTGAAGGCCACAATCTCCTCTCACTTTCTTTGTCGCCGGCGCTCCTCCTCCTCCTCCTCCTCCTCCTCCTCCTCCTCCTCCTCCTCCTCATCCTAGTCCCTCTGCTCCTCTTCCTCCTCGTCCTTGCCCTAGTCCCCCCTCCCCCTTCCCTCCCTCCTCCCTCAGCCGCCCTCCTCCTCTTTCTCCGCCAGATGGTCGCGGATGGTCGCGGGGTCGGTCGCGGGTCGGGGGCTAGCGAAAACAAACCAGCCCGCCTTGCGCGCCGATTTGAAATTGCAACGTGCGCGGGGTGGTCGCGGTGGGTCACGGGGTCGGTCGCGGGTCGGGGGTCGTGAGCAAACGCAAAACAGCCAGCCGCAGGCGCCGAACTTGAAATTGCAACGTGCGCGGGGTGGTCGCGGATGATCACGGATAAGTCGAGGATGGTCGGCCAGGGGTCGTGAGCAAACGCATAAACAGCCCGCCGCAGGCGCCGATTTTGAAATTGCAACGTGCGCGGGGTGGTCGCGGTGGGTCGCGGGTGGGTCGCGGGGTGGGTCGCGGGTCGGGGGTCGCGAGTGAATGCAAAACCGCCCGCCGCAGGCGCCGATTTTTGAAATTGCAATGTGCGCTGGGTGGATCGCGGGTGGATCGCGGGTGGGTCGCGGGGTGGGTCGCGGGTTGGTCGCAGGTGGTCACGCAGCGGGGCGTGAAGTGGGTCGCGGGCGCGGGGTCGCGGAGTGGGTCGCGGGTGGGTCGTGGGTGGGTCGCGGGATGGGTCGCGGGTGGGTCGTGGCGTGGGTCGCGGGGTTGGTCGCGGTGTGGGTCGCGGGTGGGTCGCGAGGCGGGCCACGGGGGGGACGACGCCAAACAAACAAACAATCAAACAAACAAACAAAAACACCACCAACAACAACAACAACATCAACAACAACAACAACAACAACAACAACAACAACAACACCAACACCAACACCAACACCAACACCAACAGCAACAACAACACCACCAACAACACCACCAACAACAACAACAACAACAACAACAACAACAACAACAACACCAACACCAACAACAACAACAACAACAGCAGCAGCAGCAGCAACAGCAACAACAACAACAACAACACCAACAACAACAACAACAACAAGAACCCGCATCGCGGAATTCCACTTCAGCCACGCACCCGGGGACACTGAATGACCGTGCGGCCCCCTCACTCTCTTATACATATATATATGTGTGTGATACACCGTGGTGGCAGGGACTCGTTATCTTCCTCTCCCACTCTCTCTCTCTCACTCTCTCTCTTTCTTACTCTCCCCTCTCTCTAAGTACATGTGTTGATCACGATTTCTTTTCTCTCTTTCTTTGCTCTGCTCTGTCTGTCGATCACTTTTCTCTCTGATCTGTACATCTCTTTCTCTCTCTGCCCCCTTTTAATATATTTACCCTCTCAACTCGCTCTGTTGTTTATTCTCTACCCACTAAGAGGTCCGCCGACTTTGCGGCGTGAGACGCTGGTGCCAGCCTCGTCGTCGTCAATCCCAGAAGTGGAGGAACAAAAAAAAAGTACAATAGGTCGAGTCCCTTCCCTTTATCTATCCCTTCCCTGCCAATGGTGGGGGTGAGGGGGGGGAATTGGTGAGGGGGCGCGGTCCCGGGTCAGTGGGGGGGGTCCAGGTCAGAATACCGCTTGCCCCAGGGTCCGGGCGGGTTCAGGGGGGGGTCGCCAGCGGGCCAGCGGGGGTCCTGCGGGAGGTCCCACCTTCAGGGTCGGCGGCACAGTATATAAGGCCTTCGCATTACTATGAATGCTTGCTGCTTACTCTGTGATGTCTCTCTCCACTATGTACACTCTCTCATCCTGACCGTGGTCGCAATGACCCGGGTGCTTGGCCACATCCTAGAATCCGAGAACCCTGGGACACTACCGCGCCGGGAACCCGGAATCCGGAGAAGGGACCGCTGGAACCCGGCCGCCAACCAACATCGGCCCTCAATGTTCGCCTACTCTGTCAGTCTGCCCTAGGACCCCTTCAGTGCAATAACTGCTAAGGTAAAACGCATCCACAGCGCGCCAATCATACGCACCAACCACGCGCAAATATTCGCAGACATGACGCAAGCAGAGGTACAGTCAAAACGCATAATGAGGATGACGCGGTAAGGATACAAAGGCTTTGGAATGCCATCTTGACTTTTTCGGACGAACAGGGAAAGGATGGACCGAAGGGGCAAGGCAGAGTGGAAGGATGCCAGAATGGGCATGGCAGAGTCGAAGGATGAACGGGTAACCTCCGGAAGTCGCTCAGCCCAACTATGCGCTTTGAGTATAAGGCAAAGAATGAGCACACTTCACGCGCCAGAGGAGCCCTGCGGCAGAGTGCAGAGAGAACACACAACGCGACGAACGACGAGGGCGCGCGAGGGGGGGGGCAGGAGGGGGGAGGGAGGATAGCCATACATGCGGTCTTGACGGGGAGAACTAAAACTGATAGACGGTTGCAATACGCCACGGGTGGGGTCTTTTGTCTTGTGGGCCGACAAAGCAAAGAAATCATGAACAGATCTTACCCAGAACATCGAAACCGGCACAAAGTTCGGATGGTCGATCAAGACACTACTCACCATGATCACCGATTCTGGATAACTTCGCGGTATACAATGGGGCCTGCAACTGTCTGCCTTCGAACACAACTCCCGGAAGCTGTTAATCGTCCCCATGGCGCCCAACATCGCGTCCAATAGCGCGCAAAACAGACGTTTGCATCTAACTCGCACGGCGCCGTTGGGCGCTAACTATTGGTCGCAAGTTGACGCGAAATGACCGTCATTCGGCGTTACTGGGCGTCAGTTGGCGCTCGGAGCGTTATTGAGCGGGCACTATCTGCCGATGTGCTTTCGATCAATGACGAGCGATACCTTCCACGAGTTCACGATCTAGCCTGTGCGCATACACAAAAAAGGGAGCCAGGAGCTGGCTGCCGGCCCACACCCCGCCTCGCTCCCTGACCTAAACTCGTGCACCCTGTGGGTCAGAACCATTGGCTGGGCAGGAGGGGGAGGCAACAGGGGAAATCAAGATGCGAGAGCGAAATCATATTGCTTTGGTGAGTTGTTCCCCGACCCCTGCTTGCCGGGGGTGAAAAGGCGTGTGAGACATCTGGCTGTCCCCATCCCCCTTTCCACCTCCAGGGGTCCAAAATCGGATTAGAGGGGGGGGGGCCGATGGGGGCCAAGGGGGGTAGACGAGCTCCTCAACGCACCCCCCAGGCTTTCGGAGCCTGCAAAGAGCCTCAAGATGGCCCAAGAGAGCCCAAACAGAGCGCCAAGACGGCCCACGCGCCTCCAAGACGGCCCAAGAATTCTTCCCAAGGGATCCCCCAGAAGCCCCCAGGAGGCCCCCAAGAAGACCCAAAGAGCCCCCCAGATACCCCCAAGAACCCTCTAAAAGGCCCCTGAGAGGCAACCCACGAGCTCCTCAAATGCATCCAAGAAGCTCCTGACCCCCTAGATAGCGTCCAAGATCGTCGCAGACATTCGCTCTTTCTGGAGGGCCAGAAGACTGGCGCAAGCTATTTTAATCAGATTGCTCTGGTGAGTTGTTCCCGTCGGCTGCGGTCAGGATCGTCTTGCGCTGGCCACTTGCCCTCCCCCCCGTTCCTTACGATCGGAGCTGATTGTAGAGGACACGCGAGAGGACACAAGACTCTTCCGAGGGCCACATAGATACCAGAATATAGAAGACCTGGGTCGCGAAACACAGGACCCAAGGTACCCTTGATTTGGCAGGGTCGATCGACAAGTCAGCCTCGAATGCATCCAAGAGAGAGGGCGGCAACTCTGACCCGAAAGCGCACGCAACTCTGACCCTGCCCAGCTCACGCGCCGCTGGCGGCCTCGGGGACAAACTTGTGGGCCGCCACGCGCCCGGGAAACCTGCAGACGGAAGAGGGAGGAGCGGGAGAGGAAGCTACCTCGATCAAATGGTCGGCGAAAAGCTACCTCGATCAAATAGTCGCCGATCAAATGGTCGGCGATCAGATGGCATAGCGACATTTCGCGCGGTGGCTTACGCGGGCCGCCAACGCGGCACGCCACACTGGCGACGAGGGCACCCACGCGCGACCTGACGTGGGCAGCTCACGCACGAATGTCGGCCTGCCCCGGCTGGCAGATCGACTACGGCAGGTTCGCGTCGTGTCGACCCCGGCGTTGGTTTCTGACACCGCGGGGATCGTTCAACCTTGAACGATCGGCCGTTTCCGAAACGTCCAAATCGTTCCACATCGAGCGATTCTGGGTCGCCCGCGGCGTTCAAGGTTGAACGCCGCTGGCGGGGTCGCCGCCGGTCGACACGACACTAACCTACCGTACTCCGCCGCCATTCCCCCCCCCAACGAGAAGAGGATCCGGTGCGTGCCACTGCTACTCGGGATCAGGGAAACGAGCGATGCCATAGGCATAGAAACTCGGAGGTCCGCGCGGATTCCTCGGATCGGCGCTGGGCCGCCCTGGCGGCGCCCTCGGCGCCGCCCCTGGCGCGCCCCGCGCGCCAGGGAGGGGGGGTCCAGAACCGATCCGAGAAAACTGCGCGGAGCTACGAGTTTTCAGATTTATGTCACTGCTTGCTCCCCGAAGGATCGGTCATCATCGAATCGGGGAATCGCATCGCATCGGAAGGTGCATCGCATTGGGCCGCGCCGCCCCTGAGTCGACATATCGAACCGCATCGACTTCACTGGGAGGGACAACAGCGCCATGTAAACATCTGGCCGTATCGGATCGCCAGAAAATTCAAATCGAATTGGATCGAACTGGCCGAAAACGACATCGAAGCGGCTCGATCGGATCGAAATGAGCCCCGTGCCGCAGTCGGCTGTCCCTGCCTGGTGCCCTCTGGCTGATGCGGCGGTACACCCTGCGAAATGCTTAAGAAATCATGGGTTAAGAAACTCAGAGTCTCAGAATTTGAACAGAAACCCAAAATTCCGATTGAAATCTTAGGATTTACATTGAAACATTAAGAATAATCGAGACTCTGGCCGAAAACTCAAGTTTTCTTAAGCATCGCCCAGGGTGTACGACTCCCCAAATCGGTCCCCCATGGTTGGTGCTCTTGGCCCCCCCGTGTGCCAGAAGCTCCCGTTCGGCAACACTCCAGGTCGACCCCTCCTCTCGGGCGCCCGGTTGCCACTCCTGTTGCATCGCGATGTTGATGGGAAGAGGAACGCGTCTTTCCGAAAACGGACGATGTACCTGTGAGATCTTATCAATATGCTTGTTTCCCTCTCACCCGTGAGGCTTTGTGCGTGTGTCGCCGCGCCAGTGCGCGCGCGCGGCCGCCGGCCGCGTTCAGTGCAGCTGTGAGGTCACTGCGGGAGAGAAGCCTCGGGCTTCCACCGCACCCCTGTGGGCAACGGCCACCCGCGGAGCGCAGAAGGCCCTTAAGAGAACCTCCCACGCACATGACTGATGCGAGAGAGCGGGTAGGCCCGCCACCCCATACTCTAGGGAGCAGGGGCCACTCGCCGGGATCGGGAGCGCAGGTATGCCTGCAGTCGTTGCTGTACGCTGGGTGTTCCCAGACATCCCGATCACTGCTTCCAAGGCTAAGCCTTAAGAGGCACCGCCTGGGGAAGCACGCGAGAGAGCGGGTAGGCCCGCCACCCCCTACTCCAAGGAGTGAGGGCCACTCGCATGAGCGCCAAAGCAGGAAAGCCTGCTGCCATGGTCTCGCAGCACGGTGGCCTCCGAGCCTCCGAAAATCCCCCTCCCACCAAAGCCTTACGAGGCTCTTAGAAGAGGTGGAGACGGGGCGGAGGAGGGAGCCGCAAACAGCTATGGAGAACGAGATATTTCGTGACAATTTCGTTGCAATCTCTCTGCTGTCTGGCTGTGCCGCCTCCCTGCTCAAGGGAAAAAGCATAACGCCCGGATCATGATCCGTGTACATATGCTTGTTTCCCTCTCACCCGTGAGGCTTTGTGCGTGTGTCGCCGCGCCAGTGCGCGCGCGCGGCCGCCGGCCGCGTTCAGTGCAGCTGTGAGGTCACTGCGGGAGAGAAGCCTCGGGCTTCCACCGCACCCCTGTGGGCAACGGCCACCCGCGGAGCGCAGAAGGCCCTTAAGAGAACCTCCCACGCACATGACCACCTCCCCCTTCTTCAAGGGAATAGGAAGAAGAAATAACAACTGCCACCAGCTTCCCTGAGACGATCCCGCGTCAAGGAGCACGCGACACTACGGCACAGCCAGGCCCCCCGTCACCTCGACCAGGGTGGGCAAGTAGGGAGGGCAGGCAATGGACGGCGCGGCGCAGCCGTTCTTGTCCTTGCTCTGGCACAGACCAAGAGCCAACGTCAACCATCGCTTGGTCAATGTAGCCTCGCGCGGGCTTCAAGGAACCCCACCTTCCCAAACTTTGGGTGGCGTCATAACTCCCAAACGCGGTAAAGTGCCAGGTCGCGCCCCCGCGCCTTAGACAGTACGGGGTCAACCTCTGGCTCTCCAGACCGAAGAACCGAGCCAAACATGTGATGTGCTGTTGGAGGGCCACGAAGTTGCCAGGGAAAAGGGTCTCGTCACCGCCAAGCGGAGTCAGGACACGAAGTAGGAGTTTAATTACCAAAGGGTCGTACAATGTAACGTGCTCGACTTGGCCGTGCCGCTTTGCCCCCTTACTGTCAGGGAGTGCGATGACTACCGCAGCCCCTCCACCGATGACGGTAAATTGACGTTTCGTAACAGCGACAATCTCTCCAGATCGGAGAAGGCCGGTGAAACCGACCAGCAGAGCGGTCGCTGTGCGAGGCCAGTGCCGGAGGAGAGCGACTGTGGCCATGCCTTGGACCATATCACTGGAGATCGGCAGCGCTCGCCGGCGCCGCGATGAACGAGCCCAATTTGTCATGTAAAGCGTGGCGGTTTCCAGCTTTCGCTTTGAGCGGGGAAAGAGGCGCTTGAAACCGCACACCAAGTCGTTACCCCAATACTGCGGCAAATCGTCTTGGTAAAGGTGGTCGATATACTCTCCTACAACATTGTCCAACTCCTCGAAAGTTTCGGGGATGCGAATTCCGTTGCAAGCAAGATGAGAAAAGAAACGATGAATGGCGCGGCGATAGCGAACGATTGTTACCGGCTGAATGTTGACGTACTTTATGTGTGCTTTACGTGGACCTGGGGCCCGGCGCCTTTCAACCGGCATCGTCGGCAACCGGAGCCCCCTCCAGCAGCCGACTGGCTGCATCGGTCGAGTTCCAGCCGCTGATGGTCCACAAGCACAGCACGTACAAATCAGCCGCCAACGCTACTGCCGCATACCGCCGCAGGGGTCGATTGAGCACCCTCGCGCTCGAACGCCCCTTGGCCGCAACACAAGATGCAACCCGGGAGTCAAAAATATGGAAGAACCGCTCTCCATGCCGGTCCGGGCTGGAGACGCGTGCCCGGACGTAAGTCAGAAATGCAATAAATTCTAAGACGTTGATGTGCTGCGTCTGCCGCCAAGCATAACGCTGCACCACGTGCCAATCCCAAACAGGAGCGGGGTACGGCAGCAGTTGCCGGGACCCGTCCAGGAGGGTGCTGGAAAGAAGTCTTACATCTGAGCCCCTGTAATCAGTGACTCCAAGAAGACTCCTGAGATGTGCCAGCTCCTGACCTTGGGCCAGCGCGCCCATCATACGATCTAGGGTTGACACGGCTTCGGCCTGCACCATGCTTTCTTGGAGGCGGTTGGTGCTGGCGGCCAGGCTGCGGGCTACCCAGTCAGCCCGCTCCCCTGGCTGAGCCGGAAGGGAACCCATGCGAAGCTCGCGAAGTGCACTTTCGACCAACTTCGCGTACGCGTCGCAGAACTCGAACGGGTAGAACGCCTCCTCTTCGATGTAGCAGGCTGGGAGGTCGCTCGCCCCGCGCAGCACCCGAGCGTGTAAGCCGCAGCGGCTGCCGTCGAAAGCACGGTGAAGAGCCTCGCAATTGTGTAACATACCCAAGCCAAAACGGCATGAGCCACCGAAGCAGCACGGCCAAACTGTCGTGAAAAACACACCCTCCGAGCGAAACAAGACGCCCGCGAGAGGGAGTTCCCACCCAGAACCTCCGAGCGGATGCATTACAACGGCCACCCCCCAATGGAGGAGACGATGCTGCAAGCGCTCGAGGGCTCGCGCGAACGCTGCGTTACGACGCCGCGTCCTGCGCTGGTGGTGGCCCGGCTGCCATGCCCCCTTCCGTTCATTGCCGCGCACGTGCCAACCAGGGAAGGCCCAATGCTCGAATGCGACGTCGTCGCAATCGAACTCTGGCTCTCGGGCGAGCGCGGCATCGTAGCAGCAGGCAAAGGCTGGGCCCCCGACTGGAGGCTGGGCGACGGGCACCCCGCGAACCGCGCAAGCCCACGAGAGCGGCGCCTCAGGGCCAGCAAGCCCTTCGCCAAACTGCGAGGGGCGGATCCCCTTCCCGAAACACGGCCCACCGCGATGAGCGGCCAAGCATTGCAGGGAACAGAAATCCCCAGGGCACCCCAGCGGGCACGCGGCCCAACGTCGGAAGGCCGGCTCGCGTCCGCCACAAACCGAGCAGGCGTAAACCTTGGGGCGCGGCTGCAGGAACGGCTCCTCCGCTAGGCCCGCGGACCAGGCCTCAGCGAGCTCGGGGCGGCCCGGCCCAAGCATGTCGACGAAGCGCGTCGCCTCGGCAGCCCCGCCCCCGCTCTCCGACGCGTCAGAAGTGCTCACGACGCCTGAAATGCGCGCGCGGAGGTTCACGAAGGCAAGAGGCAACAGAGCTCCACCGACTAAGACTTCGTCCAGGACGCTGTCCGGGGGAACCTGCGCTCCCCCCGCGAGGGCGCAGTTCTGGATGAACGGGAAAACGTCCTGCAGCACAGAGAATAACGGCCTTCTGAAACCCGCCGCGAAGCAGAAGAGGCCC